TTGATCTTCTTTTTCAATGGAGAAAATATTAAGAGAGATGTTTTGAAGTACTTTTGAAATAAAAGAAGTCAAGTTAATATTTATAAGGTTGAAACAAATATTCAAAGTCTTAAAATGTAAATGTATTTTTGGGAATACTAATTACACCTACCAGTTTAACTTTGTATCTTTCGCATTTCATATGAGTATAAAATATTTACACAATCGAATGCAATCAATTGTAAAAAATGGGCTAATAAATATTACCTAATTTTTTGAATTTTTGCCTTTACTGTATAAATTATTCCCTAAAATATGGAAACATAATTTGTCTCCTTTCTATAATTATGATTTGTTTTATATTTCAGAATATGGTTACAATCATTTGTAATATATGGATATACTGTTGATATGTAATATCTATATACCTAATACAATCTTATACGATTTCTATGATGTTAGTTACGATCTTTCAAAATTTAAGAAATTTGGAAGATATGCTGTATAAATTGAAGGGGAATTAGTTTTATAATGCCAATTGATTTAGGAATTGTCCTCCTAATACTTTTTGAAAATTTTTTGTCTCTTTAATGTTTAATATAAATTTAAGGGAGAATTGTAAATTTAGGACACATTTTGCATACAATTGTCCTCATAAGACTTATTGGACTTTTGTCACTTTTAGATTTAAGTACCCTTTAATTAATGTTGAAATTAATTTAAGAAATTTGAATTTAATGTTTCGTTTTAAAAAAATAAATCGAAAATACCAAATATGGAAATATATTAATTACCGAAAATCAATTATGGAAAGTTTTAAATTTTTAAAAATTATTTTCCACAACATGTAGAAGACGTATTCTACATTTTACGATTTTTTAGAATATGTTTTCTACATATTCTTCTACAATCTACGAAACCTAGAATTGGTGTTCTACATGTTCTTTTTCATTCTGTTAGTCGTATAGAATATGTATTCTACAAAATCTTTAGAGTTCTACAACTACTAGAATACATGTTCTACATTTTTTACTACATTCTACATTTTAATAGAATGTGAATTCTAGCAATCCTTCTTTGTTCTATGTAATATAGAATATGTATTCTAGTAAATCGTTACAGAATCTGAGAAAATCTAGGATTCATATGCTTATCCATCCAACTGAATATTTTCCAAATATTCACTTTCCTTTTTTGAAATTTTTTTTTATATTTTTCTAATGTTGAGATTACTTAAAACCGTTATAATAAAATCGAATAATGTGCTGAGCAACAATGGATTTTTATGGCTTTCCATTAACTCAAACCTCCGAGTTCGAGACCTCTTGTCTTCTTTTTTTTTTTTTTGCTTTTTCTGCACTTGTTTCATTTGCTCGCCAAATTGGATTGTTTTCACGAAAATTGGCATAATTTTTGATCGCACCGTTAGAATTACCTCAAACCACTTTCAAATGAAAGCTAGTCCATTTTATATATCTGATGTCTAAATTTGAGATTGATCCATCTGTGGAAACTCCTTCAAAGAGAGCCAAACTTCTGATGTGTGACATGTGTCTTCATAAAACAAAGTAGTTGGAATATTTTTTGCTGTTTCTTTTGTTGTTGTGGAGACGAGAATTTTTTTTTATCTTTTGTTGGGTTTTTTTATTTTTTAATTATTTTATATTTAAGGTGAATATCAAAATGTTTTTAAAAAAGTACTAGAATGAAAATTTAAGGGTAATTTTGGATTTTAATAAAAGTAAATATTAGAGAGACAATGTCTAAGATAATAAATCCTAAAAGGACAAATGGTTTGGGAAATTATCCTAAATTTCTAATTACCAATTATACCCTTTAATTTCAAATTAGACATAAATTAATTAAATTTTTAAATAATTTTTTATAATTAAAAAAAAACAAGTAGAAAAGATAGCCCAACAGTTTCACATATATGTCATCATACATTGAACAGCGGTACATCCATATCAACTAAATGGCGTGCCCCATCTAACGGTTTGGTGAAATGTAATTATGATGCTTCACACCACAGAGGAAACAATGACTCTGGATTAGGCTGGATCATAAGAAATTGTAATGGTACTTTCCTAGACGCTGGCATGGGGAAATTTCAAGGTAGACACTCTCCAGAAGAATCTGAATGCTCGGCATTGATATGGGCATTGCAATCAGCTTGGTCCTTAGGATACCGCAAAGTTGAGTTTGAAGGTGACAATCTCATCATTAATCAGCTGATTAACAACAACCGCTCTAATGAAAGACTTTATCATTACCTCAGGCTCATCCACAATTGGAGATCAATGTTTGATACGATCAAATTTACACACCGGCGCCGTGATTCAAATAATGCGCAGACGTTTTAGCTAAAAAGGCAGTTATATCTCCATCTCCATGGGAACTGTTCCATTGCTGTCCGGGTTTTCTTCAAACTCTTGTAACAAACGATCGTACAATTGATATCTAATGAAAAATTTAGACGGCAAAAAAAAGAAAAGAAAAGAGTTTCTACTACGACATAAAAAAAACCTCCTAAACCCCGATATATCACTTCACCGTGTCTCCACCTTCTTCTCCGATTACAGTCACCGGAAAAGCAATTTCCGGTAAGTAAAAACGTTCTTTGTTCTTCCTCCTCCCCCGCCTGGTCGTCATTTTTACTTTTTCTTTCATTATTCTCATTCAATTTCAATTATAGGGTTTACAAATTCTCAATTGATTTGGGGGTTTTGTTGATTTACAGTTTTTTACTAGCTTGCATGATTCAGATTTTGTTTCTAGCCGCATGCATGATTATAATTTCGATTCTAGCCGCATGAATGATTCTGGGTTTTATAACTTTGATTCCGGGTTTGCTAATTTCGATTCTGGGTATGCTAATTTCGATTCTGAGTTCTGCACCTTCCTAATTGCTTTGGGCTATTGTTTATATAAATTTGGTGATTCTGGGTTTGCTAATTTTGATTCTATGCATGATTAAATGAGCTAGTCTTCAAAGATTTTCATGTCTATATATATCTAGTCCCATCTTGTTTTTGAATGATTATGCTGTCTTTGTTTGGTCAAAGATTCTCATATGCTTCTTTACAACTGAATGAACATATTTTAAAAGCAAAAGTCATCGATAGGTGTTGGTAATGGAGTTGTCATTACCGTTAAGTTGTGATACCCGTGAGTTAGTTCTGTTACTAGACAATGCATCTAGCTGTTTGCTTGTAATAGGATTTTACTTTCGTGTTCATAATTTTGGTATGCGTTTTTTGCTTGATCTGGGTTCTGTTTTTAAAAAGAATCTGCTCTCCAGGTTCCCTTTTGGTTGTTGAATTCACCATGTAAAGTAAGCTATTGTCTTTTGTTTTGCCTTCTGTTTTGTTCGTAGAGCTCTTGCTTATGTAGTTGACATTTTTCTTTACCTAGCTTTAATAACGTGTAAGGCTCTGGTGTGTCTCTTAAGACAGCTGAATCATTTTTTTTTCAAGATTACTAAAATGAGATCATACATTTAGAAAACATTAATGTATTGGTGGAGTTTTGGGTGTATAATTTGTCGTGATGAAGTTGTTTTGAATTTTTTGCCATGTCTTTTTTTTCTCTTATTCGTAGGTATATACGAGGAAATTCTGAAACTGCTTTTCGAGCCTGGTTTTGTGAATGATATTGACAAGATCAACAATCGATGCATTCTTAACACAATGGAACCCATTAAGAAAGCATTTCCAAACGAATACGGTAGAGTTCTGCTAGACCCTGTCTTTGGACCTGTTTTGTTGATTATCGAGAACAACATGGGATATTCAGGGCGACTAGTCCATAGATTTCTGTGTAAGGAGCCCATCACCGACAAGAAACACGAGCTATGGTTTGTGTTTGTGGGGAGACCTCTTCGATTTTCTCTGCAAGAATTTCATGCCATTACTGGACTGAACACAAAGACGATGAGACTTGTGATTTCAGTGATTGGGTTGATGATGGCGGGTTCTGGAGTAAGTTTTTGAGAAGCAAAGGTGGAATTACTTTGTCTAAAATAGAAAATGAGTATCCTGGGCGTGTAAACAAATGGAGGCATGAAGACAGGTTGCGGTTAGTGTACTTGTATGTTATTGCTTCTCTGGTAATGACAAAGAGCAAGATCATTAAGATCCCAAAAGAATATATCATTCTTGCTATGGATCTGGAGATTGCTAAACCCTATACCCATGGGGATGTGTAGCGTTTGATTTTCTAGTGCAGAGTATCAAGATAGTTCGTGTGAAGTTGACGCAATCTACAGGGTATGCTTATGTAGTTGACATTTTTCTTTACCTAGCTTTAATAACGTGTAAGGCTCTGGTGTGTCTCTTAAGACAGCTGAATCATTTTTTTTTCAAGATTACTAAAATGAGATCATACATTTAGAAAACATTAATGTATTGGTGGAGTTTTGGGTGTATAATTTGTCGTGATGAAGTTGTTTTGAATTTTTTGCCATGTCTTTTTTTTCTCTTATTCGTAGGTATATACGAGGAAATTCTGAAACTGCTTTTCGAGCCTGGTTTTGTGAATGATATTGACAAGATCAACAATCGATGCATTCTTAACACAATGGAACCCATTAAGAAAGCATTTCCAAACGAATACGGTAGAGTTCTGCTAGACCCTGTCTTTGGACCTGTTTTGTTGATTATCGAGAACAACATGGGATATTCAGGGCGACTAGTCCATAGATTTCTGTGTAAGGAGCCCATCACCGACAAGAAACACGAGCTATGGTTTGTGTTTGTGGGGAGACCTCTTCGATTTTCTCTGCAAGAATTTCATGCCATTACTGGACTGAACACAAAGACGATGAGACTTGTGATTTCAGTGATTGGGTTGATGATGGCGGGTTCTGGAGTAAGTTTTTGAGAAGCAAAGGTGGAATTACTTTGTCTAAAATAGAAAATGAGTATCCTGGGCGTGTAAACAAATGGAGGCGTGAAGACAGGTTGCGGTTAGTGTACTTGTATGTTATTGCTTCTCTGGTAATGACAAAGAGCAAGACCATTAAGATCCCAAAAGAATATATCATTCTTGCTATGGATCTGGAGATTGCTAAACCCTATACCCATGGGGACGTGTAGCGTTTGATTTTCTAGTGCAGAGTATCAAGATAGTTCGTGTGAAGTCGACGCAATCTACAGGGTATGCACTGAATGGCTTCACAATAGTTTTCAAATCTGGATCATGGAGGCAATTCCCGCTCTCGGATATATGTTGTCTTCTAGATTGGACGCTGTGATCGCCGGTGTTCCTAGATGCTGTAAGTGGGACGGCATTAGCTATGTGAAAATTTCAGATATTAAGCATATCGAAAATACGTTTTGCACGAAGGTGATTTCTGTTTTTTTGCGACTTTCATATATATATATATATATATATATTTTTTTTGCTTTGTTGTATTTCTTTGCTAATTGTCCCATTTTTTTTTGCAGGAGAAGCTCTATCACTATATCTCTTCCACTGGGAATGATGATGTCGTTGATTCTTTGGACTTCGTATGGCATGATGAAATGGCTGACACAAGAGTGGATCGTCTTAAAACGATGATCAACGATGGAATGGATTGAGTCACCATAAATGGGAGGTAGAATAAGCATTATCTGCAACTCTTGACGAGAATGAGGAAGCAACAGATGAAGAGAATGAGAATGTCGCAGAAGAAAGCGAATTTAGGACACCACCTGCCGTAGGTAGCTCAGTTGCAGGTTCAAGTCGAGGAAAGAAAAGGGTCGCTGAATCTGGAGCAGAATCACGGAAGCAGAAGTTGATGTGTGATCGATCAGCTGCGAAAGCCATCGATGAGGACTTTAAGTCTTTTATTCAAGGACTTTTGCAGACTTCGTTCAAAGCTTTGGAGGAGAGAATTGAGACCAAGATTGATAGCCAAGTCGAGCTTTTGGATAAGAAAATAGAAAAGCTAAAGGAGATGCTTTAGAAGAAGCTTATGGAACCCATCCAAACAGGTGGATTCACTACTGCTACTCCCAGCTCAGCAAAATCACATCCTGGTATGTTTCACACATTTGCAAATTATGTCATTGCTTTATATGAAACAACTAGTTTGCAAATTATGTCATTTCTTTTTATGAAACAATATCAAATAGCGATTGGGAAGGTGTAGACGAGTGGGCATAGACACACGAGTAAGCATAAAAACACTTTTAAATTATAGAGAAAAATATTAAACGTAAACGTATTAAATTATTATTTTATTATTTCAGAGACTTATTAGTTGGTATCATCTCATGAATAAACGACAGTGGTTGCACACGCCGGTAAGTACCTAAAAAAATTACTTTTTTTTTAAAAGCATAAGGCATTCAATTTTGACAATGTGGTTAACCGATGTTAATGTTTCAGGAAATGGATGGAATTATGTACTTATTTCGGGAGTACACTTCTTTGGGCCGCTTCCAACATGCCCATGTTGGCTTCATGAGCTGTAATTTTAGCCTCTCAGTTGGTGCTGCGTACAAACAATTGCTGGCGAATAAAAAAATACCAGTTGGACAAGGTGCTCATACAATATGGATTAGGAGCGCTTCCAGCTCATGGAAGAACAGACAAAATTTGGGGTGCCGACGTCGATCGTATATATGCTCCGGTCAATATCCTGAACAAAAACTGGATATCTTTGTGCATCAATTTCGCGATGAGAACAGTGGAAGTTTTTGATTTCGACGGGGGCAAGCACAACCGGTACGTGGATGCATTTGCAAACATCATCCTTAGAGTTGTGAAGGAAGTTCAGAGTTACAAAGAAAAGAAGCAACTGGTTATTAAACCATACACAGTGCAGTATGTTCTGATGAGGCCTGGGATTAATAGGAGTGCATGTGATTGTGGAGTTTATGCGCTCAAATTCATAGAGGCTCACATGCTTGGACTACACCTGTCTTTGATTAACGACGACAACATTTACTCAGCTAGGCTGAAGATCACCTATGATCTTTGGAAAGCAGCACATGATCCAATATTGATTGAGCGGATGAGAAAGTACGTGCCTCCGAAAACAGTGTGCTCAGAAGATATTAAAGACTTGAGATAGGTTTGATATATTTCTTTTTAGGTGGTTGAGTTTTTTTTTGTATTTTTGGGATTTTTTTTAGTTTGTCGCTTGCCATTGTGTACTTTTAGTAGGTCGTTTGCAACAATTGACTAGTGACCTTGTGTTGATTTTCTCATTTTAACTTCTCATTTTAACTTGAACCGGAAAAGATTTTCTCATTTTAACTTCTCCCGGAAAGGATTAGAACCCAAAAAAAAATCGATGTGGACAATATTTAACTTGAACTGGGAAAGATTTTTTCATTGTAACTTCCTTCGGGAAGGATTAGAACAAAAAAAGAAACTCGATCCAGACAATATTTAACTTGAACCGGGAAAGATTTTCTCATTTTAACTTCTCCCGGGAAAGATTACCTAAAAAAACTCGATCCGCACAATATTTATCTTGAACCGGGAAAGATTTTCTCATTTTAACTTTTCCCTCGAATGATAAGAACTCAAAAAGATGTATTTAACTTGAATCGAAAAAGATTTTCTCATTTTAACTTATCCCGGGAAGGATTAGAACCCAAAAAACAACTCGATCTGGGAAATTTTTTTTAAAAAAAACATCTGTCCATTACAGGATTCGAACCTAAGACCGATACACATAATATTGTCAGCAAACCAGTAGAGCTGTTGTGGAATCAACAATTATTTCCGACCTAATAATTTTAAATCTATTTGGTGTTCAAATTTATTTTAAAAAAATATTCCGTTACACGTAATTCATTAATTATCATAAGTTATCCAGTAGAGCTATTGTGGAAATCAACACTTTCTTCCGACCTAGTCATTTTAAATGTATTGGGTTTTCAATTTTTTTTTTTTTTTAAATATTCCGGTCTATTGTGGGATTCAAACCCAAGACCAATATACGTACTTATTATAAGCGAACCAGTAGATCTGTAATGGGAAATTAATAGTTGTTTCCGAGTTTTTATATATAAATGATTTAAACGTCTGTTTTGCTTTTTTTTTGGCTTGTGGAAACATATTTCCCATACGATTTGCTTATCCTGAACAGACTAAGCATCGAACAAAACACAAGCAAACTAACTTAATCCTCCAGTTTGGCATCTAAATTTGAAAACCAGTACATAAATTGTTTTCTAAAAAGTGATAATAACTAAGAAAACCAAAAAAAGAAAACGAATAACAATAAAGAAGAGATAGAGAAGAACCTATATTGGCATGTCACATGTCTCTCTCTCTTATGTCTTTTGATACCACAGCGACTGCACTTGTGCTTCTTAGACCATTGTGATCCTTGTGACGCTCGTATCTTGTCTTCCACACTTTCGTGTCTTCGTTTTTTCCGGCGTCCAGCTGCTCGTCGCGATTCCGGTTCTACAACTTTGGCATGTTCAACATGATCAGGGACACACCAATCATCCTCAAGACCTGCAATTGGATTAATGCATTCCTTATAAGCTGTTATCCATTCCTCAGTAGTGTAATAATGATCGGTGAGAGTGTGTACTGCTGGTTCACAGAATCTTTAATTGCATGTCGACACGGAATTTTATGCAAGTCGTACTTGCCACATGAACAAGTTCTTCTGCCCAAATCAACAAGACAGTCGTATTTGTCACCTCTGACCAAAAATCGATCCTGGCTAACTGGGTAAACAATGAATGTTTTACCCTTATCAATTCTTCTCTCAATCTTCGTCTCAACTTCAACTGTTAGAGGAGCATGATGCTTTGAACTCATTTTTTTACGCTCATAAAACCAATTGGTTAACATTTTTCGGATTCTATCAAGTAGAGGAATAACTGGGTACTAGATCTCTAGGAGTTAGCAATTTCTTTTTTATCGATTCCGTTGGATTAGTGGTTCTAACATCGTACCTAAATCCGGGGAATTTGCATCGTGCCCATTTCTCAACACCAGCGTCCTCAAGGTACTTTCCAACAGCTGGACTAATAGAACAAATGGCAGCAAATTTGGTATCAAATCAGAAAATCTGTACTCTTTAGAAGGCTTTGCAATCAAACCAGTCAAACCCTGTGTCTTGAAATATGTTATTACATAAGTCAGAAAACGGTGGATACAGATACCATTACTAGATTGTGGGTACGCTTTCTCAAGTGCTTTAATTACAAAAGCAATTCTATCTGACACAAAAGCCAAATGCACCTCATCCGCAATGACAACTTTTAGTTGCATCATAAACCACTCCCAAGACAGGTCGTTCTCTGAATCGACAACCCCAAATATGATTGGATATAAGCTCGAGTTGCCATCTAATGCCGTAGCAACAACCAAAACTCCTTTATATTTGTTTTTCAATAATGTCTCATCCACAATGATTACCCTGCCAATAGCTTTGTAAAAACATCTACTGATTGACCGAAAGAGAGAAACAGAAACTTGAAACGTCCAGTAATGTCAGTTTCGTACTGCATATGGGTCCCTGGATTCGCTTCTTTCAGCATGTGCAAAAACTTAGGAATTTTTGCATAGCTTTTCCCGGGTTGCCTCTGACAACACTAATCGCATACTCACGTGCTTCCCAAACATGGTTGTAAGAGATTTCACATCCATGCTATGTACGAATAAACTGAATTATTTCTCTTGCACTAGGCCCTTTATTAGCACCCTCAAACTTATTTTTAATCAGATTACCAATAGTTTTTGCCGAAGCTGTCCTACCGACTGTCTTTATTAGAAGGAGCGCATGTATGTTGAGTGACATACTTGTTGATTCTGAAATACTGAGACCCCTCAAGACACTTTGAACGAACACCCCAGTTGCATGACTTCTCTTTACAGTGGATAAACCAGACTCGTTTGGTTGATTCCAGTACGTTGTAGTCGAAAATATGCTTCATCACAGAAATTTCCAAAGAAGCCTTCAACTCTGTTTTGCTTCTAAAAATTTGATCTTTTTTACTACATCAACCAAGTTAAGCCCAACATTCTGCTCACCTTCAACTTCGTAATCAACCTTAACGGGTTCATTAAACTCCTCCTCCACTTTATGGCCACTGTCTCTAATATCATCATCGCCTAACTTTGTAGTTATTGCGTCATTTTTTTCCCTACAGCTTGAATCAGAGGGCGTCTTCATCAATTTGATGTGCACTTGATTCTCAGCATTCTCAGCAAACGCGGTGAATGTCACACACAGATGTACCAAAGTTTTAATTTTAGAGTAGGCAACAAAATTTTTTAGTTGACGATTATTGGCGATACTCACCGGTGGAGAACCTATGGTATCAATCATATCACTCGGAAGATAACTAAACTCAGCTTTGTGATCGATTACTCCATAGTCTTTGAGAACCATCATTTCTAACACCGCGAGAGTGGTGTTTGATTCAACAGCAACTAACCTAGCTCGTTTTTGTTCATCAGCTACAAAATTTCACTTCTTCCGGGTCTAAAAATCAAAATTTTGGCCTCGTAAACTGCACCCATAGTCTTTATATCCTTGAGCATGCCCGAGAGCACTCTTGGGGCTTTCTGAAAAGTGGCTGAATGAGACGTGGTTCCACACGGTCTATAAATGGCGTCCTTCGGAAAATGGAGTGTTTTTCAAATGAAAAGTCCAAAAGAAAAAAAAAATTAAGAGGAATAAAAAAAGGGTGCAACACGAGGACTTCCCGGGAGGTCACCCATCCTAGTACAACTCTCACCCAGGCACGCTTACCTGCGAAGTTCTGATGGGATCCGGTGCATTAGTGCTGGTATGATCGCACCCATTAGTACTTGTGTCGCAATAACATATATCCCTTGCCTTTGACTCACGCAATGAAATCTCTTCGCATGTGTTGCACTATTTGTATGGCTTTTACCGCCCAGCAGCAACGTGCATTCGTCCCAAGATATATATATGGTAGGACGCCACGTCCGATGACACTTTAACAAGGCACACGTTTTGTTATGTTTTAGAAAATTGCCCGGAAGAGGGTCTAAAACTCAAAATTTTGGCCTCGTAAACTGCACCGATGGTCTTTAGACCATTGGACACGCCCGAGAGCACTCTTGGGGCTTTCCGAAAAAGTGGCTCATGACCGAGACATGGTTCCACACGGTCTAGAAATAGCGTCCTTCAGAAAATGGAGTGTTTTTCAAATAAAAAAGGAAAAGAAGAAACAAAAATTAAGATGAACAAAAAAACGGGTGCAACACGAGAACTTCCCCGGGAGGTCACCCATCTTAGTACTACTTTCGCCCAAGCACGCTTAACTGCAGAGTTCTGATGGGATCCGGTGCATTAGTGTTGGTATAATCACACCCGTTAGTACTTGTGTCGCAATAACATATATCCTTTGGCTTTGACTCACGCAATTAAATTTCTTTGCGTGTGTTGCACTATTTGTATGGCTTTTCCCGCCGTCATTTTTTTCCCTACAGATTGAATCAAAGGGCGTCTTCAACAATTTGATGTGCACTTGATTCTCAGCATTCTCAGCAAACGCGGTGAATGTCACACACAGATGTACCAAAGTTTTAATTTTAGAGTTGGCAACAAAAATTTTTAGTTGATGATTATTGGCGATACTCACTGGTGGAGAACCTATGGTATCAATCAAATCACTCGGAAGATAACTAAACTAAGCTTTGTGATCGATTACTCCATAGTCTTCGAGAACCATCATTTCTAACTCTGCGAGAGTGGTGTTTGATTCAACAGCAACTAACCTATCTCGTTTTTGTTCATCAGCCACAAAATTTCACTTCTTATCTCTCCCTGATTTCCATGAACCACAAGTAACATAGATATGTAGCACGTTTGAAGCAGAAGATATGTAAACTTAGAGAAATTCTCCTGAATCAATGGGAAGAAGAAGAAAACGATGAAGTAAAAAAAAAAAAAGAAGCAATTCGTCGAAAACAAAGAGAAAACGTGAAAAAAAAAGATATTCGAAAAAATAAAAATCTGGAAGTTAGCTAATTTTCCTATATTTTTTTAGATTTTGGTAGAAGTTATTTTCTACCAACATGTAGAACATGGTCGAATAAGTAGAAGAACTGTTCTACTAACATGTAGAACTTGGTCTAATAAGTAGAAGAACTGTTTTACATTAACGTAGAACTTAGTCAAATGAGTAGAATTAATGTTCTACAATAACGTAGAACCTTGTCTACTTGGTAGAAGTTGTATTCTATCAAGACGTAGAATATAGTCTACCCGGTAGAACTTGTAATCTACCATAACGTTGAATATAAAAAAGACTGTAGAAAACGATTTCTACAAGCTGGTAGAACTTACAAAGAACTATAGAAATGAAATTCTACGTAGACGTAGAACGTAGAAGACGCGTTCTACCATGCGTAGAATAAAATTTAAAAATATTTTAAAAATATTTTCTTTCCTTAAATGATATCCAACAATATTTCCCCATCTTATTTTGGAATGTTCGATATTTAAAAAAAAAAAAAATTATTTTAATTTACCATAAATGATTTAAAAGGGTAACTATGTCAAAAAGTGACCAAAAAATAAAAAATATTAAGGGGACAATTTCTAAATCAATTAGCATTATAAAACTAAATTGAATTACATATTCCGATATTTTGGAATATTAGATTAGTCTCATATAAAGGTTATTTTTGTTCTGTTATTACTTTCTAAAATCAAATTGATCTTGCAATCTTTATAATATTGCGTACATTCGTTTAAACCCTAGTAAATCCTAATTATTCCATCTCTGTATATACATAATATTATTTGTCAACAGCAACTTCAGTACTCACATTGTCATCAAATTAATCATACTACTCCTCTCTATTGCTATGAAGAAGATAGGTAAGCCATTGTGTTCCACTAACATCCTTTTCAGAATTTTATTAAAGCAACAACACAGTTTTCCTCATTTGTTGTTTATTTTATAGATTTAATCAGAATTATACATTTAACTTACAGTATTACAGTATTTATTAGCAAACATTACAGTATTTATTAGCAAACTTAGTTTCTTTTAACAAGTTTGTTTTCTTCGATTTTCCCAAAAACAAATACTACAAAGCACAACAAAGACACCATACCTAACAAAAATACAAAATTTCTTGTTTGGATGAAGTGTAACAAGATATACGAATTGTTCATAACCCTTCTCTATACAGAACTTACACAACAATTTGTATGGAATACCAAATATAATGAATGGAGGCTTCGGTTAATGGTGTACAGAATTCAGGTATTTTTCAACACTTTTCAATTTCTGATGGGAAGATATTTTATTTGGGTTGTCTATTTAATATTATTAGAGGTCCTTGCAGTTATGGAGACAATACAAGAAAACAACGGTTTTACATCGGTGGAAATCAATGTCAAATCATCGCAAATAGGCCTTCGCATCGAATTACCGTCAATTTTTGTTTCATCATTAATTGAACGTCGTAAACTCAGGATCATCGTAAATTTAACGTAAAATTAGCAAAGACCAAAAATTAACGTAATTTCGATGCGATTAAATCATCGTAAAATCGACGTACATGTTGCATCAATTTTACAATGATTTTAATCACCATCACTAAACTGATGTAAATTCAATGTAAAGTTACATTGAATATTCATCGATTTCCCAATACTTAATAAACCAAAATAATGAATTATACATTTAGGATCAATGTAAAATCGTCGTAAGTAATCGACGGGAAATAGACATAAATCAAATCAGCGTAAAGTCGACGTAAACATTTCGATGTAAATTGGTTGAGAAATTATGACGATATTACATCGATTTTAAAAAAATAAGTATTAAAAATTCAAAAATAAAATTAATACGAAAATAATATTCTAAAATTCAAATAAATTCAAAAATATTTACAATATTCAAAAATTAGGTTTAGTTTAAATTAATTACAAAAATCATCAATATTAATAGTCCCGTCAGCATTGACGGTATACGGTGCCTCCTCCTCGCCAGTACCACTCTGCGGAGCCGAAGTGGATGCATGAAGCTGCTGTTGCTGTCGTTGCTGCCGTTGCTGCTCCTGCTCCTCCAGAAGTTGTTCATCTTGTGGATCTCCCATTGCTGCACGACTTGCTCAACCCGCAAGTTCGTGATCTCCGTGTTGACTGTTGGCGACCTCGAGATGTTGCCGCAAGACCACCGGATCCTCGTTAATCCGTCCAGACAACACCAGCGGGCAATCCGAGATTGAGCCCATCCCTAAAATTCGGTCCTTCTTCTTCGAAGCAACCTACGAAAATTTGTAATTAGTGTTATAGAATTGAAATACTTGAATAAAAAATTAATGAAAAGTTTTAAAAAAGAAATTACCTCTTCGAAGATCGAGCAAGAACATCAGGTGAGACCTGAGTTTGACGCTCTGTGATCTTCGCCATCGACTCGTTGTAGATCCGCTCCAATCGAGCATCCACGAAAGAGCCGTCTCTCTTCCGATGAGTCTCTTCGAAGATCTTGGTCATAGGAGGAAGTTCTCCTCTGTTTGCTTCAGCTTACAAAAAAAAAAGCAAAATAAAATAGTCATTTAAAAATAATTAATAAAGTAAAAAGAAAAAAAGAACTTAAAATTACCACATCAGGCATCTGCCTGCAAAGGAAGTCTGGCCAGAAGTATGCGGTGTAACCGACTTCTGATCATCGGGAGTGACGTTGTTCCGAACCGCCGAACATTTGGCGGCTGTATCTTGTGCCATGGGGGTGAGCCAATACGCCTTAAGCCCGTTCCAACATTCCATTGGAGCGGGCTTGGCATCGTCGCCGAGTTCCTCCCACTTGCACTTCTAGTCGAAGACGGTGTTGACGAGGCGCTTCATCGCCTTCTGCCTGAAGGCCGTCCTTACTGTCTCTGTAATCTTGACGTTCCAGTTCTACTTTTGCTTTTAAAAAAACAACATTGAAAACAATTAATTAATAACTTATATATATGATCATTTATGAATAAATAAAATAACAAATAAAAAAAATATCGCAAAACACTTGAACCAAGTGTCGAAGATCTGCATGGAAACCTTACTCTAGTTGTAGTTCGGTTCCACAAAACAGCTCTTGATCGTGTCCGCTATGCTCCAGGATATGCAAGAATCAATGCCGAACCTACAAAATAATATAAAGTTATAAATCGTATTTTAAAAAAAAATCTTATGTATAAACTAAAAGTGAAATAACAAACCAGTAAGTGTTCAGCAGTCGGTTCGGGACCAACTTCGGTAAGTTCTACCAACCTCTGGTTCAGTGGTGTCGGCCATGTATCTTGTTGCATAGGTGGCAGATCTACACCATCAATTATTTTCCGTGGAGCCACTTTAATCACCGTTAACCATGAGATACCATTATTTCGAACTCGTGGATATGAAACAAATGTGACTTTTTCTGCTTGTGAGGCTATAATGAAAGGTTCAAACTTGATGTACCGTCGAGATTGATTAACGTCAACCACCCTAAATTTGTTAATAAGCACTCCAAGACCAACTGTTGGATCAAACCAATCACATTTGAATAGTACAGTTTTCATCCTCACCAAACCAGGATATTCCACTTCAATGATGTCTTGCAAGATCCCATAGTAATATACTTCACCTCGTACACAGACTCTATAGTATGTAGTTGCATGTTGAATAACGTGATTGTATGTATAGAAAACGTAACCTCTAGTGAAATATATTGCAGATGTTGTTATCTTTGATATGGGGCCTTGGAGTAACTCATGAAACCATATTGGATATGTCGGGTAATCATGATCTACTTGACCCTTTAACCACGGAGCAAAATATTGGTCTTTCTAATCGTTTATTTCATTTTTCGAGATGCCTTCAATGCATTCCCGGAGTTGACTTACAAATGTGCTGCAAAATACAACATAATCAAAATGTTAATATAATTAATAAATAACCAAAAAATTAATATAATCATAATATTAACTACCTCTCGTATGTAACTAATTCATCATAGTTTAAGAGGATGTATGTATGTGCGGAGTGATAGTCTTTTTCGGTGGAGCAACAAGTTTCCTTCAGTTTTCCAATAAGACGTCCAACTGGTGAGAAAATGTCTTGTACACCTTCTACTAAATAAGTATGTCCCACACCCCCATCATCATAATATCGTGGAGCTCACAGTAAAATAATATGATGTGAAATGAGACGTTTCTTCTGTCAAACTTCCTGCAACGATAGAGCCTTAAACTTTGGCTAGGTTTTTAGCTTTTCCCTTCAGATGTTTCATGAAGCACTCAAACGGATACATCCACCTAAACTGAACTGGTCCGCCTAGTTCTACTTCGTGAGGAAGATGAATAGGTAGATGTTTCATAACATCAAAAAA